TAGGACACAATGGAGAAAAAGAATTCATGTAGCCGATCCCACGTAGTGGGATAAAGGCTTGATGTTGTTGTTATTGTATCAAAAAAATTATTTTGATCAGGAACGAATCTCGAGGTAAAATCAAGCTAGAAATTTAAAAAAATTAAATTCGAGATCACTTGAACTCCGATTTCATCATACTTACAGTCAAACTGAGCTTCTCTGAAATATAAATCCAACGACACCAAATTCAACTCAATCTGAGCCTAAATGAATCCAAATCAAGGACTCGAAGCACTGTTGAAAAGTTCGTACCACAATTTGAGAAATGAAAAGGTTTCTAAATATGACAAGCTTATAGTCGAATCGAGTGGCTTGATGGAAAGAATCCAACGAGACCAAGATCATCGAATTTTGACATCATTAAGACCTTCAAATATTTGACGAACGGTATAGGATTAACGGATTCAATATCAGCCGTCCATCCAACCACTCCCCACTTACCCCTGATGTCTCGCCTATTTACGGTCATGCCACTCAAAAAAATCTATAAATAGACCCCTCATTTCTCTTGAGACGAGACCCAAGCAAGAGAAATAGAAGAGAAGAAGAAGAGAAGGATAGGAGGGAAGAACTCCTCCTCGACCACCACCGGAGTTCTACTCGACGTCTGAGTAACACCGGCATTATGTCTGATGCTCAAGTGATGCCGAAATTCTACCCAAGTGACGCCGAAACTCTGCCTGACATTAGAGTGATGCTGAATTCCACCCGATCTCCAAGTAACCCCAAAACTCTGACCGATGTTGTAAACAATTTTAAACCCAGAAGTGATTCATTTGAATTTGAACATCCTAAATTTTAAGGACGAATTATCCTCATGTACTTCAAGCAAACACTAGTGAAACTCTTTCAACTGGGCGTGGCCCCGTGATTTTTTCTCTTTTAGGATTTTCCATGTAAAAATCCTAATGTTATTTCCTCTCTTGTTTGTGTGCTAGATATTCATACAATGCTTAGATGGAAATTTTCTAATTATATCGCCGCGCATATTCTAGTCCACTATAGTTTGGGGTCGTCTGTGGAAAATATTATCCTAAAACTCGAAGTATTGCTACAATGGTCAACAAGCACAACAGTCGTATCGTTGGAGCTTCTCGCTCCAACTTCTACCAGTCCAAAAATCAGTCTATGAATCATAGACGTCTGATATCTAACCGATATATGCCTCTTTCTACCCTGGGGAGCAAAAGGCCGCTAGAGAAGGAACCTCAGGACCTTACTTAGAAGGGAGAATTAAAAAAATGGAAGAATCTCAGAACGAGATCCTTCAACTCCTATGAGAGACTCGATAGCCAACATTACCATAACAGGAGGAGGTTCTTCTCTCTTGAGCTCCACTACTGGCCGAAGATGTTCAACTTGAACATCTTCAAGTGGAGATTCATCTTCCTCTACCAAGAAGACATCTGCAGTCACGTCAGGATAGTGAACTTGCTGATACGATAAGTTCTACGCATCTTTCTTCCACAACTCGGCAACCTCGTATTCCTCTAGATCTCCTAGAAGACTTAGCCAAACCACACATTACTGTGCTCCCTAATAATATCCTACAACATGAACTATAGAAATTGGTACGGAAGGAGTTCTTTGGAGGAGATATGAAGTAAACTCTTCGATAGTGGAACTTCTAAGAGTCATCACCTTTAACTGAAGCCATTATTCAGCACCCCATTCCGGTTATCTTCAAACTACCAAGCATCGAGTCCTACAACGGTACATTTGACCCACAGGAGCATATCGACCACTATAGAACCATCATACATATTCAATGAGCCTCCGACACACTCATTTGCCAGGTTTTTCTTGCCACCCTTAAAGGATAGGCTAGAATGTGGTTCTATTCACTTCCGTCCGGAACGATCCCTTCATTCGTTAAATTAGCTAAAGTATTTCTCAAACAGTTCATAGTCAATCAAAAAATTGCTAAGGATTCTTCCCACCTCTCCGGAATCCATCAAAATGAGGTAGAATCGTTGAAGGAATATTTTATGTGGTTTTCCACCGAGGCTCGGCAGATTCTAGGAGTAGACCGTGAATTGCTTAGAGGAGTCTTTCTTAGAGCCCTTCATCCTAAACCTTTATATTCAACACTCATGTGCGGCATTGCTAATTCATATGTCAATCTGATCCATCATTTGGAGATGCAAATTTTTATAGATGAAGCTATAAATACTCACAGAAAGTAGTTTGAGCAAATAAATGTGAAGCATAAAGGTGCACCTCAAATGGATAATTCATCCTCACAATGGAAGATGTAGGAGAAGAATAATCTACCTCCTAGGCCTCCATTACTGTGACGAGAATCTCGGCAGGAAAAGGAGTATACCCCACTCAACATATCTCAAGAAAATGTATTAATGGATGCTCGAGATCAAGATACAATGAAATGACTACATCCTTTGAAGTCGAACATAAGAAATCAAGATCTGTACTATCACTTTTATCATAGTCGTGGCCACACTATCAAAGTTTATATACAACTCAAGGAGGAGATTGAAAGACTTATCTGCCAAGGCTATCTTCGACAGTTTATTCAGGATCCACCTACATGCGAGAAAGCTCGTTCTGCTGGGGGGCAGAATCAACAACACAAACAATCGGTGAATAACCAAATAATAGTTGGTGAAATTGAAACAATCACTAAAGGCCTCTTACTATCTGATCAAGTCTTTTTGGCTGTAGATGAAAAATCGATGTTAAAAAAGATTGTTATCGATCATTTTATTACATTTAATGACTCTGATCTAAAGGGAGTAAAAACTCCTCATCAAGATTCGCTTATTATTAATGTAGGGATAGGTGACCCGTGCTACAACATAAAAAGAATTCTGGTGGATAATGGAAGCTTCGTAGATGTCCTATTCTACTCCACTTTTCTCAATATGGTTCTCTTTAGAGAAAAGCTTCAGCCATCTGTAGGTTCTTTGTATGAATTTGATAATCGACCTATACGAGTAGAAGGGATAATTAGTCTCCTAGTTGTAATTGGAGAATTTCCTCGATGGACTACACACTCCATTCAGTTTATTATTATAAAGTTAAAGTCAGCTTACAACGCTATCT